TCTGTGCATGGCCGGTCACCCAATTACTTCACAGAACAGAATCATGTAAATGCAGCTTTGCAGAACCAAGCTCACTTGGTTAAATAGAGGTGCTGGTGCCCACAGGTGTTCAAGGCCTGCCAACAGGTGCTAGTGCCTGTTGGTCAATGTTATATTTTTTTGCTAAATATTTTGGCCATAGTAAACTAAACATTGCAAGTATTACGCAAGACCTTTTATTTAGATCTAATGATCGTCTGCGCATTATTCGTGTGTCCAATAGTAAGTAACCAACAAAGAGACCAAGTAATCAAATGCATAAGATCAGATGAATAGTACCTCTGTAATAAATATCTCTCTAGCATCAAATCCCTCTGCGAAAGCTTTCGCAAGAACCATATACTTTTGACCAGGAAAAACGTACCACACTTCTGAGGATGGAATACTTGTTATCCCATGAAAATGACCAGAATCATCCATGACAGGAACTAGATAGAGGAAGAGTGTCCGTGGAATAACAACACGTAGAGATGATACTTGTTGGTGGCCAGAAACTCTTGTGTCTTCAACAACGACATCAGTAAATCCCAGACTCAAAGTATGTACAACACCCAAGGAACTATCCACTTGGGCCACCGAAGAGTTCTTCACATGCCAAAGATGGTATTGTGATGGTAAATTAACCACTAACAAAAAGGGAGAAGACCTGTTAGCTTTCATTAGCAGATATCCAATAAAAGAAGTTTTAGCAGAAGTTTTCTTAAAATTATACTAAAGGAGCATGCCACTAAACCAAAGTGCAGCATTTAAAAATGGGGATTTCAGTGCAAGCATCTAAACCAGTTTCTTTGTTTTCCATTGAATAAACATTCTGTTGTATGTAAATCGTTTATCTGCCATGGTAGCGTAACTTTTAAGTGTGGTCCTCTTCTGATGTGCTTTCATATATGACATGGCACCACAGTTTACTTTCTGATTAAACTGAAATTGGTTAAGGTACACTTAATATATGACATGACACCACACTCCACTTTCTGAATAAAATCAAACTGGTTGGTATGCTTCAATAGATAATTAGATGTCTTGTGGCAACAAAATCAACATTTAGAGAGTACCTTGGGCAATCTTTTGTCGAAAAATTTTGAGTTTGAAATTCACCAAGACACCAAGAGTTACAAGGACGGGTGATGGGGGCTCTAGCGACATAGCTTCAGCGACAGTTAAAGTGATCGTGTCACTCACATGCTCAAACTGTGGTTCAAATAACTGAGCACTAACGACCTCTTGGCCAATCCCAACACCCTTCACAACAAAGAAATCAGAACCAAGATCCTGCCAGAAGTATTACAACAGAATTCAGAACATATATTTTTATATGAAACTGAATGTTTGCTAGAGCTAAAGCGAAAACAAGATAGTGTGTAAATATATTATCATACCCTATCTTCAAGCTCAAACCGCGCATTCATCTCAACACAAAAACCACTGCAGTCACTTAAATGTGTTTCTTTCAGTGGAATATGAGCAAGATGATGGTTACTGTTATCAAGCGTCGTCGGGGTAAGCTGCCACATAAACTGCAATCCCACCAATGTCGAGAACACGTTTTCTGAATCAAAATGAAAAAATTAAGCCATACAACCCAGCATTGAAATACTATTATAAAAAGTAACCGGATGGAGAAAATGGCTAATGGAACTATGCAATTAATTATTCCACTAGCACGTTTTTAGACCAAGGAAAAGAAGCAGTAACAGTCAAGAACCAGTGTCAGGAGAAACTCAACCACAGAGGGGGGCTCATCAGTCTAAAGAATTCTAGGTTGTGCTTACCAAAACTAAATAACCAATAACTCATATACTATAATATACAATGGTGCTTATTAATCGCATGGAACAGACTTCATGAATATTTGGAATTTGGAATGATCCAACAAACAATAACATGGATGCCCCATCAGCAACGTGCAAGAGTAATGCAAAACAGCAAAAGCAGTATCACAGTTTATAAAGTACTTTCAGTGAGGCATAAACAGGGCAATGGGTCTTTCTGTTGCAAGAGTGACACATGACTATTGTTCTGTTAAAGAATGGAAAGAGTATACGAAGAATAACCTTCATCATCAAAGGCATGAACACGCAATGTGGCGATTTCATCCAGGTCAATTTTAACAGAATGATGGAAAATCCTGATCCGAGAGATTTTGTCGACGAAAACTTTGCAGTGTATTGTGATTCCACTAATAATATCAGTGGCGTAGACAGAGGTCTCCTTGCGGCCACTGTAAGGGGCGATTGATGCCAAACGAGCGCTCGTTGAGCATCTGCTGCTGTCGTTGTACTCTGGCCTAACTGATATAATATCATGATGATCCAATGACCTGTAATTTTAACCTCATCAAAATGTACACTGAAACACTACCCCAATGTCCATCTAAGGGATTGGAGCATGGTCCAAAAACAGTCTCAAATCATGAAGTATCATTCTACAACTGGCTACAGAATCTTAAAACAAGTAGCAAACAACCACATTGATGCGTAATCCAGATTCAAGTGCACAAGATACAGGAGCTTCAAACGGTGTAGACCACCTCAAATTTGAGCAACTTCGATGGATCAATGGTGTATGACAGAAGACAGCTACTAAATTGGGAATTAAGGTACACATGGCATGTTTCCCAGTCTGCAGTCACTAAATAAATCAAAGGTGTATGACGGAAATATAGCAAAATAGTCCAGTTAACTTGTCGATTAAGAGACTAACGAAACCACTCACTCAAAGCACACGAGACCTTCAAACCTCAAGCTAAACCGAGGAATACTACCGCTGCTGCGTCATCGCCAGGATCGGCATCGATACACCCCAAACATGCAAGCGAGCGCACTAAACAACTCACGCGACATGAACCACCCTAATCGCAGGCCCCGGCACAGCCAGTAACCACACAGCGCCACGGATTCGCGCGGCGTAACAGAGGCAGCGGCGAGGCGCGCCGCCCCACGGACAAGAGCGAGGAGAAGAAGTAACCGAAGCGTGTGAGCGCGCGCGCGTACCAGGTGAAGCAGCCGTCCCCGCCGACGAGTCGGTACTCGACGGGCCTGGTCATGCGCGGGGGCAGCAGCACGCTGAGGTCCGCCATGTGGGGCCCGCCCGCCGCTGCCGCTGCCGCCGAGGCGCACAGCAGCGCGGAGGCGGCCACCACCAGCGCCACCGCCGCCGCCGCCGCCGCCGCGACGGCCGGCCGCGCGGCCATCGCCCGCCCGCCCACCCGAAGCCGCTGCCGGAGTAGCAAGTGAGC